CAAGCTGCTCTCAGGTCCTTTCTGACTCTACAGTTCCTTGCCTTCTGAGCTGTGGTTCATTAACCAGTTATTCAGCAGATTTTTTGCCGTCACTGCCATATTTGCAAGTCTACACCTACAGGCCTGCCTAACCACATTTGTATCAGCATATTCTGAGGAAATCTGGGCTGCAGTCCCAAAGCGCCTCTGCAGAGGACAGAGCACCCAGGGACCTGCACACCGAGCACTGGGACGATGCAGTCTGTGACAGCCAACCCTGGGTTGGAGCAGAGGAGAGCAGCCACACAGGCAGAGCTCACAGATCCCACAAACTGCAGCCTGAACGTGGTACCAGGATGCTGTTATGCAGCAGGATGAAACGCATGCCATCCCCTATGGCTGTTCACCTAGCTTTGAGCCACTTCAGATACAGACGTAGACTATGTTTAGAGCTGGCAGTGCTAACTAGTGGTGCAACTAGTCACCCAACTCGTTACAAGTGAAAATAGAAAATACTTTCAAGATTTTCCTGTGTTAATATCATAAAACTTTTGTTGTTGCAACTCTGAATCCTGTGAATAAGAAGCATCAGTCCCAACCTTCTCAAGCAGGCAGCTCTGCTCCCGGCGTTAACAGACGTGTGACACAAGAATGGTGAAAGGAAAGTCCCCCTTAAAGCTCAAGTTCTCTTTTAAACACAAAGAGTGCAATCAACAAAATTTTCCAGGAAAACTCCATGAGGTGAAGCACCCACTTCTGAATGCTCCTTTCAAGTGTGCAGCTAATTAAGCAATCATGCTTCGCTGAAATGAAAGGAAATGCTTTAAAATAAACACAGAGAAACCAACACACGGATGCTTGAAGCACATTGGAAGTGCCAGACATGAACGCACACTTAAAAAGCAAAACTGCTGTGAACTGTGACTTTGTAAACACCTTAAACATCCCCTAATGTGTTTGGAAATTAAAACTGATTCAGAAGGAGAACAAGTTACCAAACTATAAAAAAAAGACTTCCAGTGAACTGAAACGGAAGGTCTCTGCATGTTTGCATGAAGAGAAAAAAACCAACCCGAGAATAGAAAATAGCTTAGAGAAAAGGAGCACAGCGTGAAACGCTAAGCAGGCTTAGAGCTTTCCAAGGCACACCCATCCTTTATGTCTTCTGGGCATGAGTCTCTCTGCATCTGCACTGTGGATTCCACAGCAGGACCCAAGCGAGGCACTCCTTTCCTTCCATCTCTCCCAAGGAAGGAATTCCCCAGCCCATCTCCAGACACACACTGTTCAGCCCATGTCCCCTGCAGGATCAGACTGCTCTAACGTCAGGGCTTCCTCCCAGGACTGCTGCATTTTAGACAAACAGTAGTTTCACATTACTGAGATTTCTGATGATCTTTCCCTATAATGCTGGTAAGAGAGAACTGTTTCCTAATGGTAATGAATTCAGGGATTAATAAAGTGAACTTTTTTGTGACATTAGGAGTAAGAAACTGGAGCTGACTGCTACAACTGGTAAAACTAATGAGAAAATTATCTAGAAACACAGTTTCCCATGCACAGCTAGTTGGTTGTTTAAGATAATCAGCACAAATAAACCAAATTTGCAAGTAAACTGAAGTTACAGGCAGCAACAGCTTAACAGCTCACATTCTTTTTCTATACTTAATCTCAAAGAGCAATTAAAAATAACTTCCCTGTGACCCTCTCAAGTATTCTGAGAGTGCACTGCACACAGAACCCAAGGCACACAGCAGTGGGTACCCCTGCAGCCCAAGCACACAGAAAGTTAACAGCAACTCTCGTATTGAAAGTCGCAGTAGACAAAGACAGCAACACCTACAAACCAAAAGAACAGCATTTCGAATGAGATCACCAATGGGTAACGCGTGTGAGTCAGGCACCTTACCGAAATCCCCCATCTCCCTGGAAAACAAAAGGCTCTTCTTTTTTTGCCTGCATTTTTTTGCCTGCCGTGTCTCCCACCTAGCGCTCTCCCTTGGTTACCGATACTTGCACGTCACGAACAAAAAACACCTTTCTCCCTTTTTCCGCCCTCCCCGGTGCAGCACTGCCCGCTCCCATCACAAACCCCGCTCCAGGAGCCCGAGGAAAAGTCCGACGCGGTACAAAGGAGCGCAGCCCCGCGGGGTTCGCCCCTTACATAAGCACGACCGGGGTCGGTGCGAGGTGTACCCGGGCCCGCGCCCGCCGGAGGGGCCGGTGCCGGGCGGGGGCGGCCGCGAACATCCTCGCAGCCGCAGCCGTTCCGGGCCGGCAGGGTCCCACACGGGCCGCACGCAGAGCACCGCGGCCCTGAGAAAGGCTGGGGCCGTGCGCGTGTGAGGAAATCACCTGGAGCGGCGGCTGGTGATGGTGGTGGTCGCCGCCTCCTTTCCCTCCTCTCGGTGCCGGTGCCGTTCCCCGAGCCTGCGGCGGAGCTCTGCGTCTCACAGCGACGGCGGCGGTCGGGCGCCCGGCGGCGGCAGAGCGGCTCCTCCAGGCACCATGGCGGCGCCGCGCCGCCTCAGGGCGCCGACGGCCCGCGGCCCCACGTACGGCCAGCCATGGCCCCGCTGCCTGCGCGCGCGCCGCCCCGCACCGCGCATGCGCCCGGCGCGCAGCTCCGCCCCGGCACCCGGCGGGGTCGACCCGCGGCGCTGCGTGAGAGTCTGGTTCCGTCACTTCGGTCCGTGAAAAGGGGTTCTAGGGAGGATGTCGGTGATTTTAGCAATTGAAAATACTAAAATTGACTCAATTTTTTTTTGTGGTCACCTTTGCTGTGATTCAATTCGAAAATACGGGACTTTGCGCTGTCCCTTTTCAGCTTGTAGAGGCGGATTCCTGGCTGCACCCGTAACTCGTCCTTGAACGTAGAATCCTTAGTTGGAAGGGACCACTGAGGACCATCTTCCCTGCAGTGCACAGGGACGCCACAGCTCCATCGGGCTGCCCAGGGCCTTAAACAGCCTCATCTTGAAAGCGTCCAGGGACGAGACAGCAACCACATCACTGGGCAACCTGTGGCAGGGCCTCATCACCCTCACTGTAAAAGATCTTCTCCTTATATCTTATCCTAAATCTACCCTCTTTAAGCTTAAAGCCATTTCCTCGTGATCTATCACATCAGACCCTGCTGAAGAAGTCTGTCCCCTTCTTTCCTGTAGCTCCCCTTCTTCTACTGAAAGGCCTCTATCTCGCCACCTCAGGGCCTTCTCTTATCCAGGCTGAAGTGCCCCAGCTCTCATAAGAGGACAAGCTGAGAAGTGTTCCATCCTGTGTTTCATTTTTGTGGCCTTTCTCTGGATGTGCTCCAACGTCTCCTCTTCATATAAAAATTGCACGGCCAGGCCCCAGCACGCTCTCCAAAGTGGTGAGGAAGGGCTGTAGCCCAAGAGATGTAATGCTTTTGACCTTCATACCTGACAAAAATTACAAAGCCGCACTGTCTCGGACATGAGAACCTTTGCTGTGGTGAGGAATGAAGGAATAAGCTGAACTGGAAAATCCTGTCATTCGCAGGGGCTGGGCGAGCCAACTCAGTAATTGCTTTTTTCCTTCCACCTCTAATGAGAACCCGAGCACTCATCAACATGTATAAAAGTGCTCAGTCTAAACACAACGTATGTCACTCCATGACACTAACACACAGATACTAACATAAGGGTGTCTGTCCACACCATGCTTTGCAAAAGGACCCCTCTCTGCATACACAGGGGTTTTCAAAACACCAGAAGAAAACTGTAGTTCGAAGTAATGCAGCAGGGCTCGGTGCTGCTATGTGCTCTGGTGGTTCTATCTGGTGTTAACACTGCACCTGACTTCTCTCCGATTTGTCAGCCCACACATCAGCAGAAAGGAGACCAAACAGCATAACTGACTGAGGTTTCCCAAACAGAAGCCCTTCCTCAGGCAGCAAAGGAAGCTCAGCTTATCGATACAAGTTTCCATGAGCTTCAGATTTTAATGATGTTTTAAAAATAAGTTTTGTTGGGCTTTTTTTTTTAAGCTTTTAGTTTAAAGCTATCAGAGGACAAGGGAAAACAGTGGCTTCATCAGACTCCAGCCATCCCATTATTCTGCCTGGCTCAGCCTCCTCACTACTTTGCTGCTATTATTCACTAACACTTGTTGGTACCACCACACATCTTATCACAAGGAGTACAAACCACCAGCTGTCATACAAGGCATAAGAACCTGAGCAGAGCACTTGTATTCTCCTGTCGTACATGGAAAAAAGAGAGTCACTTCTGTTCTCTATGGTTTCATTTCAATGCTGACTGAAGTCGGGGCAATGGTGCAGCATCTGTAAAATTCTACTGCCTGTTTCTGTGCTGCTTCTGGAAAAAAAAAAAAAAAAAAAAAAAGGGAAAAAATAACACCCAGCAGGTAGCAGAGGGAGAAAAAACCTTCACTGTATAAAGCAACAGGTTTTTCTAGAAAGAGTGGAAGTCTACCATTATTTTAGAATTATATGTATCATGAAAGTATGGTAGTAAATCACTGAAATACTTCAGTTTGCAAGAAGACATTGGAATCAAATGTCCTTTTCTTTCATTTCAACATCCCTCATCATTAATTCTGAATATGCACTGCTTCACAAAAACACAGATTTTCTAATGGGCAGAGCAGGCAGCCTTACTGCTGTCTTGTCAGGCATGTCTTCAAAAAAGTACCACAACCTTCTGCTTTAAAAGTCTCTGGAATTTTAAAGCCTTTTCTACATTTGACACTGAGTGATAACGAGTTCTGAATTGTATGATTGTTTGTCTCTCATTATGAGCAGAGGCATTTGAATTACAAACTTGTAGGAACAGCAGCTGAGGACTAAAGAGGACCACTTTGGTGACATCTCATTAAAGCTTTCAAAAGACATTCTCAGAGTTCAGATAATGCAGAAATTTGATTTGTCTGTGTGGATGGACAACAGCCAGCACCTCAAAACGCTTACAAAGAAAACCCCTCAGAAGAATTCTCTAAAGCAGCAAAATGCGCTGACAAGGCAGGACACTGCACGCCTATGGGAGACAATAAAATGGGCAGTTTTATTTGAAGCTTCTCTCATAGTAAATTGTTTCACAAAATATTCACGCATACATATGTTAAAACAACGCAGTAGGTCACACTGTGAAATGCACTCACACAACAGTTACATGCAAAAAAATTCAGACTGACTGTGGAACCTGATTTTGTGCCTTGCGCGTTCGCCTCAACACACTGATGGCAGCCAGCCCCCAAAGCTGGTGTTCTCTTCTTGATATCTTAGCCCATTCACTGAATAAAAAAAAACAAATCAACTGTAATTCTTGCAGAAACTCATACTTAGTCAGAGGAAACAGTAGAATTACAGAGTCCCAGCACAGACATAGCAAATGTATCTGCCTGATTCAGCTGATCTTACTGCTTAGCCCCACATCAGAACTTCTTTTCATTGTCTATAACCCTATTTCGTAAGTCTCTCCCCATCTCTCAGCTTCATATTGACTTTTATTTTTTCCAGTCATTCTCACAGCTTTTCACAGCTCGTTCTCGCAATTCAGCTTGTTCCAATATCCCAATTTCATATTTATTTCACTCTCTTCAGGAAACTACTTCTGCAGTATCTCTGATAATTACATCTCGTATGATTACATACATTTATACCACTTTAATAACACTGAGTGCTGACTCCCAGCAAATACACAGCTGCTGTGATTTGCAACTTACCTAAGGGAAAGCCATACCAATCTCTGTGTTGAGAAGCTAGAGAGCTGAGAGGTGATGTAAGGAAAGTGATGAATCAGTTTTTGTTCAGTGAAACAAAAGAATCGCAGTTCTCTCCCCAGATCCCTTGCTAGTGGGGCATAATCTAGAATACAAAGAATTTAAGTAAATAAAATACAAATAATTGGCAGAATAGCAGAAGAAGAATAACAGTCACATTCAGCACATAGCAGATGGGTACAAACCTCCAGTATTTATAACATCTCACAGTGCCAACACTAAGTAAATAATTTGGAAAAAACTCATGTGAAGAAGCTATATAAATATTAGTCCAACTTCCACCTGACTGATAATGAAGCCAAGACAGACACTCACTGTATTAGTGATTAACTGGAAAATGTGTTTCACTGCAAACCAGAGATGTTTCTATGTCTCCAGCTGAGCTGCCAGCTACTGAAGCACATCACATTATTGAACACTGGAAACTCTCAGTTTTGCCCATAGTCACACAGTGACTCAGAATCAGAGCTCACGTTCACACATTGTTGTTCCTGGGGCACAGTGATGGCAGTGTCCAGTAAACCATGCTGTCTGTTGTATTACATTTAAGAGCTCAGGAACAGCAGAGGTTTGTGCACAAATCTGCATTAGGCTGGAAACACTTGGACAGCATACACTTGAAGAGCTGGACATTCTGACATCACTGCTGTTACTGCCTGCTCAGACCAAGTTCTAGAATTTCTTTTCTTTCACCCTAGAGCATCCCAGACATAGGGTACATCGGGATGTCAGGGAGTGGACATTTGCTTTAAGATTTTCACACTGCTTTTTCTTCTTCCTTGCTCTGCTAGAATTTACCACAGTAAACCCAAAGAGTACCACCACAAAACAAACTTTTCAGTACAAAGATGCTGCTGTTTGGGCTCTGAGTTGCAATTATATTGTCTTAGTTGAATTTCTTAAGCACTTTGCACTTACTAGTGCTAGGATTGAGCACCACCATGTGTTTTCACAGCTGAGTTAAAGAACATATTTATCTGTGCCACACAAACACCACCAGAAGCAGAGCATTTTCCAGCAGTGCCAAGCACAAAGTAGTCCCAAAGGAGTCATGGATCAGGCTTCAAGATACTAAAACATCATCATCAAACCCAAAATGAAATATCATTTAGAAACACTTAATAGTTTTTTCATATTCCTCAAACAAGGAATAAAACCCAAGCCAAGCAGAAAAACCATTAATGCCTCTCCTCAAAGAGAGAATTTTATCAAGGCCAATTAGAAAATTATTAGAATGTATCGAAAAGATTGTAAGTAGAGAGCTGATCACATTACAGTCTCATTTCTGTAGCCTGAATTTTTAACATAGGCCCGCAGGGTGCATAGTTTTATGACAGGGTGTGACTTAATGACTACTTGCAACTTTGGAAGCTTTCCAGCACTACTGTAATGTGCTGCCTCAGTACAGACGACAACTGTCTATCATGAAAAGAAAGCCCTTTGTGACTAACATACATACACACTAACTGGTTTTACTGGGATTTGCAAGCAGTCAGAAGCTACACCTGACATGAAGTCAGCGGAGTAATCTCCCATTTATATTGCTTTTCCAGAAACCAGAGCACTTCTTATGCTAAAATCTGAGTACAGAACAAACCTCAACATCCATATCCAAGCAGGAAACGCATAAAATTAATTCCCAGTCAGAAAAAAAAAGGACTGTGGCAAACCAGGCTTCTGTGCAGCTTTTGTTAATATGGCACCTTGCTCAGGTTTGCAATGCAATGCTAGGGACAGTTCTTGCACAGCTCTTCTCCTTTCCTCTTCATTTTCCTATCACTGAACCAGAAAGGAGAAAGTAATTTTCTCTACAGAGCAAGAGCTAAGATGAAAGGACCAACACTTTCACTTTCCCTCCCCTGCAGATTTAATTCTGACCACAGGTGACAATTGGAACTGTGCCCTGTATCCTTCCCACCTGGTTTTACATAAGACTTTAGTACTGACAGCTTTCTTTCCTTTAAACTATTTCTAAGGAGCAGAACATCTAAATGCAAAAGCTCATCACTGTGCAAACCACAGTTTTCCTTTTACACTCATTACCAATGGCACAAAGCAACTACAGCTGCAGCCCAGTCCTGAGAATCCCAGCACTCCCCAAGATGGGACCATTGATTCAAGAGACGCAAAAACATACTCTGCCTTGAAGGAGCCAGCTTAAAAGCTAAAAAGGATTCCTGGGTGAGAATAAATCTCCTGTGAAGGTTATTAATGGAAGAGAGAAGCTGGTGACAAGAGAGCTGGGGGCTGCGGACCCTGCTAGGCCACTCGCTCCGTGCCTCCTGTGGATTTTACCTCAGAAAGAAAACAAACAAAAATAAATAAAATAACGAATTCCTGTCAGAACCGGAGAGCAGCAGCTACGAGGAGCAGTAAAACGAAGCTCCCTCCTCGTGTACCGCTGTGACTCTGAGACATCTCGGCGTCTCCCGGCACACACAGACCACCGCGAACTCAGCCTGGTTCTGGTACTGGTACCGGTACCGGCCCGCCGCACCGTCACAGCTCAGCTCGCACCAGCACAGCTCAGTCACCGCGCGCCCCCGAGCGGGAACCAGCGCACATCCGCCACCCTTCCGCTTCCGGTGGGCTTCACTTCCGCTTCCGATGCGACGGATCGCGGGTCGGTGCCGGTTCCGTTGCCAGGGTGAGGGGCCGCATCGCGCTGCCGGGTGGGGGCCGGGCTTGCGGGCAACGCCGCTGCGGCCGCAATCGCCGTGGGGGGCTGGATCCGAAGTCCATTCCGGTGCCGGTGGTGCGGGGGCCGCGGGTAGCGCTTCGGGGTGAGCGCGTCTCTTTGCCCCGGAACGGCCGCGGCACAGCAGGGCCTGCAGCGGCGCGGGACCTCCGCTCTCCCCGTGTTACTGACGGGACAGCTCGGACGGGACCGGATTCCAGCCGGGTGCCCGCGGCCGTCCCTGAGCGCTCCGTCCCCGCTCCGTGCCGCGTGCTCCGTGCTCTCCCCTCCCGCGGGTTGGGTTTGTCGTGTCCGCGGTTTACGTTGCCGAGTGAAATACCCGGGAACGTAGAGGTGTGCTTCTCTCTCCCGAATCTCCCCAAGAGGAGCGCTTCTTCTGCCCCACTGCCCTTATAACTGTAGGCTCTTGGTGGCCCGCGGGGCTCTGACAGTGTCATCCATCTGATGATGTAAGCAACTAGAAAAAACTTTGTTTCAGTACTTTTCAGATTCCCCTTCTATACGGTCCTGTCCATAGAAACTTTGAAAATCCCTGTGACTTTCTCTATGGTCCTCACCTGTTCACTGAGTCACAGAATGGCTTGGGCTGGAAGGGACCTGAACGATCTTCTAGTTCCAGCACCCTGCCTTTAATCTCTTGTCCTGTAAACATTGATTCTGGTGTCCACACTCAGTTCCATCAGTGTTTTGCACTGATGAAGGTTTTTCTGCTTGGTGTTTCTGATAATCGTCATCCAGACAGAGCTGTACTTCTGCAAGGAGTGGCAGCTGAGTGCTCTGCTTCAACAAGATCTTTTCAGTTTGACAGAGGCGTGAGAAGTTTCCTTACTGCTTTTACTCTGAGTATTTGCTTGCAGAATGACTTCAGGCGTGTGGTAAGGATGAGAAAACAGGCCGCAAACTCTTCTTTCTAAGCCTAGAAAACTTGCTCTGACATTTATGGACAGATGATTTGTGATAATGAGCTAACACTTTGCTGATATGCAGCCTTAACCTCAGTTGTTTCTCTTAGTATCTCTAAGACCCTCTTTCACAGAATAATACTAAATCATAGGATAATACTATTCACTATTCAGTTTGGAGATATTTGGAGATATTTGAAAAAATAATTTAAAAAAAGTTTTAAAATTTATTCAGGTTGCTTTCAGGGATCTTAGAGGAAATAGTGAGGAAGAATGGCTTTTATTGTCCTCAGCAGGCAGGTTGCATCTGGTCCTCCATTTCTTATCTGATTTGAGCTCAGTGGGTATGTCTGAATAATTACTTGATTGTTCTTAACAGAGGATATTGTGTAGGCGGGAATTATTTTGGAATTTTTTTGGAGAGCAGGTAACTGCTGAGAATGATGCTTGAGAAGATGAGGAGTCAGACTTTTTTCAGAATTCTGACTTTTTTCAGAATTGCCAGGCCTGGATTTCTTGGTACAGTGCATTTCTCGAAGGTGGGCACCCTCAGGTTTGGTTCTGTTTTGTTTCCATGGCTCTTCTCTCTTTACTTTTTGGTCGGCAATCTTTTAAGGACATTCTCACCATTAGTTGTGCAGAGACCTTCTTTGGATCTCTGACAATTTGAAATGGCCTTTTTGTACCCATTCCTTGATTCTCTGCTTTCAGACTTTGACAGAAAAAAAATGTATTTTTCCTTCCCCAGCAAGCTAAAAGTCTTGCTTCTCTCTTCAGTGTGGGAATAAAGTGTTGGATATAATTCACATAAATTATTTGGTGTAAATTAAAGGTAGTTGTAATTATGATTATTTTGTCAGCACTGCAATGAAAGTGCAGTTCTTACAGTGTAATTGTACTGTGTAGGTGTGTATTTTGGCTTTGTTTTCAAACTCCTGCTTTGATATTGCTACAGTGAGACATGACCTGAGGTGTATTACTGCAGCTATTGCACAGATCTTAATGAAAGTCAGTAGAGAAAGTGATCCACCTGAACTGTTGCTTCAGAACTGTTTTGTTGGTTTTATTTTAGGTATTTCTTACTTGCTGTTTAGTAGCCACGTATGTAATGAGTGGTTCGGTTGTGAAGTTATTGCAGAGGACATTTCCGAGGTTTGAAATGACTTTTCTGATGCTGCAGGACTCTGCTTGGGTGCTGGCTGTGCTGCGTGCAAGCTGTACCTGCACAGAACACAGGGCAAGGTGTTACAGCAAACAGTGCATGTGACACTGCTAAATGCATCAAAGTGCAACTGACAGCCGCAGCTGTAGTGCTGTTCTTTCTCCCTTAGGTTCAGCATTTTATCAACGTTTATCATCTGTGCATGCAAAACAAACGGCTCCTTGATGTACAATACCACAGAAATGTAACAAACATTGACACCATAAGGTTTGTCTTCTGAAAAAAAGAAACCACCACACCGAGTTCTTGCTTACGTGATCATTGCATTTTCCTCCTCCAGCAGATTTTTCAGGAAATAACACTGAACATATGCTCCAAGGATGTCCCTCTCTCTTATAATAAAATGGGGTGGACAGGAGTATACAATCACCTCGCTATCAGAAGAGGACACAGTGTTGGATCTGAAGCAATCTCTTAAAGGCCTTACTGGAGTGTTACCAGAGCGCCAAAAATTACTTGGACTTAAAATGAAGGGTAACTATTTGTGTTTATTATTAGTTTTGGGTGGGCATGGGATATTTAAAGAGCCTCCTCTTGGCTTAGTCAGGATGTGTATTAATGTAATGTGTATTAACTGAGCATCCACCACCCAGATCTAGCTTTTGAATGAGCACACACACAGGAGTTCGATACAGCACCGTGTGCTTTGTTACTGATGTATCTGAATGGGCATTCTTAGTGGCTGATGTGCAGCAGATGTACCTTAAACATTTTTAATTGTCGTTAGCCAGGCAAGCAGCGTGCCTGTGATGGAGGATGAGAGTGCAGCCTGGGGTATTCTTGTGTTTTATGGGTAGCTAACTTCAATTAAGCATGAAATGTACTGACCGTTTTCTAAAATCTCTCTACTCAGTTTGAAAAGAAAAAGCAACAAACAAAAGAACAACAAAAAAGCAAACAGAACTCTTATTGCATTATAGGGAAACCCGCGGATGATGATGTTAAGCTTGGAGCTCTCAAGTTAAAACCAAATACTAAAATCATGATGATGGGCACTCGTGAAGAGAGTTTGGTAAATATTTTACTTGCTTATTAGCTTTATAAGAGGGAAAAAAAAAAAAAAAAGATTGTATGTCTCCTCATTATGATTTTAAATCATTGAAAAATAAATACTTCAGTAGATTTCTGGTATTTATGTAAACTTTTCTGTAGAACTTGGATAGCATTAAAATCCTGTATTTTAGGTTCAAAGTACAAACCTACTACTGTGATATTCTCACTGACTTCTGAAATCTTAATCATCGGTATATTTGAGCATTTTTTCTACCAGTGAAGTAAAATCACGTTTGTTAATTTCCTTTGTCTGTAGCGTACACTCACAGAGTCTGGATCTGCACAGTTCTCTTTTAGTGATCCCAGTTGTCTTTTATTATTATTCTGCTAGGAAGACGTCCTTGGGCCTCCTCCTGATAACGACGATGTCATCAATGACTTTGATATTGAAGAGGAAGTTGTGGAAGTAGAAAACAGGTTAGGAATTCTAGCTGTTAAAAACCAGTCCTGTTATGGAACGTGCAGTTTGCATTTGAATTAACTGTAACTTTTTGCACTCTTGTATTAGGGAAGAAAATCTACTAAAAATTTCTCGCAGAGTTAAAGAATACAAAGTGGAAATTCTGAATCCTCCCAGGGAAGGAAAAAAGCTGCTGGTGCTAGATGTTGATTATACACTATTTGGTGAGAACATGCAACTTGTGGGGTTGGTTTAAGAGGGCAATTTATTTGCCAGTTCATGTTTCTTCATGTTTGATTTACAACTATACTTCAGTAATGTTGGCTTGTGTTGCACTACGTAACTTCTGTTTTGTAACATTTGAGGTCTTCTGCTCATGTTTTAAGAAGCATTGGCATTTGTAAATGTTGCCTGTTGTTGATTTTTGTACAGCAACTATTCATTTTCTCTAAGATGCTGCAAAAAGTAGTTTAGGATTTTATCCAACAAACTCTTCTCTTGACCAGTGTGTAGCTTGCACATGATGATGGCAGGACAAGGTAGTGCTGTAAAATAATGATGTCTGTAGCCAATTGATTCCTCTTTTGGGGATGACAGAACAGCTTCAGATTGACTTTCCAGATCAGTAAACACATACAGAACTATGTTTTACCTGAAAATTCTGTCAGACTGGTTTTCTGAGAAGCCAGAATTTTCCTTGTGACTTCATTTTCTGGGATGTCGGTGTGTCATGGTGTCATGGCAGTTTGACTATAAACACTACATATCAGCTTGCCTTTTTTCCTTTTCTGTAATTTCCTTTTGCATGGCATTTCTTTACAATCTGAGATGAAAATTCAGCCTATGACAATTTACACTTTTGTTTACCTGTCTCCTTCTAGCTGAATTTAACAGCAATTTTCTAGTTGGAGCAGGCAGTATTTGCATGTTTGAAATAAGCTTGGTATATATGTTCACAAGATTAACTGGACTAAGTTGGCAAGAATCTCTGAACAATACCTGGGCTGTCAGAAGTTTGTTAAGATGAAGAGATGAATTAATTGGCCTGACTCTTTAGACTCATTAAAGATATTCAGAGCTACAGCTGAACTCACAAATTCCTGTAAAGATCAAGAGAGAAATATCCCTTCTTCTTTGCACCTTTAAAGTAGGAACGATGCCTCACTGTAAGTTCTTTCCTAATTTCAAAGTTCTTCAGTGCTTCTCATATGAAACATTTCAAGTTCCTGGGTGGACAGGACAGTCCTACTTAACATC